TTAATGGGCTATTGTGTGTGTTTTTTCACGTTATTTGTAACTTATTTTGTACATAATGTTTCTTCCACCGTCTCTTATGACCAAAAAGAGCTTCTGGATATTAGGACAGCAATTACTCACCTCGTACTGGACGAAGATTTTTTCTTTAACGAGTCGGACGTAAAGGATTTTCTTCAGACACCCGAGAAGGCCCAAATCCCCGTCATTCACATGAGAAAGAGACAGAGATATCGGGGACGTAGGTCGGGGTGCCTTGTAAGGATCCGACGGCGAGTGGGTAATCTGCCTCTACCATCAGTCCTATTAGCCAACGTACAATCATTGATAACAAAATAGACAAACTACGATCACGAATATCCTACCAACAGGACATTAAAAACTGTAATATCTTATGTTTCACCGAGTTGTGGCTGAACGACGACATGGATAACATACAGCTGGCGGGATATACGCTGCATCGGCAAGATAGAACAGCTGCCTCCGGTAAGACAAGGGGTGGCGGTCTGTGTATATTTGTAAACAGCTGGTGCACAAAATCTAATATTAAGGAAGTCTTTAGGTTTTGCTCGCCTGTGGTAGAGTATCTCATGATAAGCTTGTCACGATCATCAAAAGGAGTAGACCAAGGCGCAGCGTGGAATGCGTACATCTTTTATTAGAGTACTTACACAACTAATAAAACAACGAAACGTGAAGTCCTCGGTTAACAAACAAACCTTACGGCTCAAGATCCCACGAAACACAAGAGCACAATAGGCTGCCTAAGTATGGTTCCCAATCAGAGACAACAAGCAACAGCTGATTCACGTTGCCTCTGATTGAGAACCACCCCGGCCAACATAGAAACACATGAACTAGACACTGAAACATAGAACACAAAACAATGACTCTACACACCCTGGCTCAACATATGAGAGTCCCCAGAGCCAGGGCGTGACAAAGCTGTAGACCACACTATTTACCAAGAGAGTTTTCATCTATATTTTTGTAGCTGTCTATTTACAACCACAAACCGATGCTGGCACTAAGACCGCACTCAATGAGCTGTATAAGGCCATAAGTAAACAGGAAAATGCTCCTCCAGAGGTGGCGCTCCTTGTGGCCGGGGACTTTAATGCAGGGAAACTTAAATCCGTTTTACCTCACTTCTACCAGCATGTTAAATGTGCAACCAGAGGGAAGAAAACTCTAGACCTCCATTTGGCAAATCTGACCATAACTCTATCCTCCTGAAGCACCAGTGACTCGGTCAATAAAGAGGTCAGATAACGCAGATGCTAAGCTACAGGACTGTTTTGCTAGCACACACTGGAATATGTTCCGGGATTCTTCCGATGGCATTGAGGAGTACACCACATCAGTCACTGGCTTCATCAATAAGTGCATCGATGACGTCGTCCCCACAGTGACCGTACGTACATACCCCAACCAGAAGCCATGGATTACAGGCAACATTCGCACTGAGCTAAAGGGTAGAGCTGCCACTTTCAAGGAGCGGGACTCTAACCTGGACGTTTATAAGAAATCACGCTATGCCCTCCGACGAACCATCAAACAGGCAAAGCGTCAATACAGGACTAAGATTGAATCGTAGTACACCGGCTCCGACGCTCGTCGGCAGGGCTTGCAAACTATTACAGACTACAAAGGGAAGCACAGACGCGAGCTGCCCAGTGACACGAGCCTACCAGACAAGCTAAATTACTTCTATGCTCACTTTGAGGCAAGCAACACTGAAGCATGCATGAGAGCATCAGCTGTTCCGGACGACTGTGTGATCACGCTCTCCGTAGCCGATGTGAGTAAGAACTTTAAACAGGTCAACATTCACAAGACCGCAGGGCCAGACGGATTACCAGGACGTGTACTCCGAGCAGTGTCTTCACTAACATTTTCAACCTGTCCCTGACTGAGTTTGTAATACCTACATGTTTCAAGCAGACCACCATAGTCCCTGTGCCCAAAAACACTAAGGTAACCTGCCTAAATGACTACTGATCCGTAGCACTCACGTCTGTAGCCAGGAAGTGCTTTGAAAGGCTGGTCATGGCTCACATCAACACCATTATCCCAAAAACCCTAGACCCACTCCAAATGCATACCGCCCCAACAGATCCACAGATGATGCAATCTCTATTGCACTCCACACTGCCCTTTCCCACCTGGACAAAAGGAACACCTACGTGAGAATGATATTAATTGACTACAGCTCAGCGTTCAACACCATAGTGCCATCAAAACTCATCACTAAGCTAAGGACCCTGGGACTAAACACCTCCATCTGCAACTGGATCCTGGACTTCCTGACGGGCCGCCCCCAGGTGGTAAGGGTAGGTAACAACACATCTGCCACGCTGATCCTCAACACGGGGGCCCCTCAGGGGTGCGTGCTCAGTCCCCTCCTGTACTTCCTGTTCACCCATGACTGCATGGCCAGGCACGACTCCAACACCATCATTAAGTTTGCAGACGACACAACAGTGGTAGGCCTGATCACCGACAACGATGAGACAGCCTATAGGGAGGAGGTCAGAGACCTGGCCGTGTGGTGCCAGGATAACAACCTCTCCCTCAACGTGACCAAGACAAAGGAGATGATTGTGGACTACAGGAAAAAGAAGAGGACCAAGCACACCCCCATTCTCATCGACTGGGCTGTAGTGGAGCAGGTTGAGAGCTTCAAGTTCCTTGGTTTCCACATCACTAACAAACTATCATGGTCCAAACACACCAAGACAGTCATGAAGAGGGCACGACAAAGCCTATTCAGGAGACTGAAAATATTTGGCATGGGTCATCAGATCCTCAAACAGTTCTACAGCTGCACCATCGAGAGCATCCTGACTGGTTGCATCACTGCTTGGTATGGCAACTGCTCGGTCTCCGACCGCAAGGCACTACAGAGGGTAGTGCGTACGGCCCAGTACATCACTGGGGCCAAGCTTCCTGCCATCCAGGACCTCTATACCAGGCGGTGTCAGAGGAAGGCCCTAAAAATTGTCAAAGACTCCAGCCACCCTAGTCATAGACGCACGGCAAGCGGTACCGGAGCGCCAAGTCTAGGTCCAAAAGGCTTCTTAACAGCTTCTACCCCCAAGCCATAAGTCCCCTGAACAGCTAATCAAATGGCCATGCGGACACCCCCCTGTCCATCTTTTACGCTGCTGCTACTCTCTGTTTATTATCTATGCATAGTCACTTTAACTCTACCTACATGTACATATTCCCTCAATTACCTCGACTAACCTGTGCCCCCGCACATTGACTCTGTACCGGTACCCCCTGTAATATAGCCTCGCTACTGTTATTTTACTGCTGCTCTTTAAATATTTTTTTGTTATCTATTTTTTACTAAACACTTATTTTTCTTAAAACCGCATTGTTGGTTAAGGGCTTGTAAGTAAGCATTTCACTGTAAGGTCTACACCTGTTGTATTCAGCGCATGTGACAAATAAAATCTGATTTGATTTGATATCAGTAATTAAATAACCATTCTTTCAATTTGAGCTTTTAATGACCTGGCAAATTCGATGAATTTGAGGTGAAATATCACCTATCACCTATTTTTTTAAATTGGTATTTTATCACCTGCAGAATAAAAACCTTGAACTACTCCTGAAAAAGTTAATCTGTCTGGATAAAGTGAAGTGGACTCGGCACGAGTACCATTAGCCGGAGCCCATCGTAATATGATTCTGCATCGCTCGGGAAAACATGAAGCCCCCCGAGTCCAAGTCCATGCCGAGTCTCAAACGGAATAGGCCCGAGCCAAGAGTGTTGACTGGGTACAGTATGCCAACAAGACCATAACCTGCTTTGGAGAGCGCTGCCAGCTGTTGTTTGCCAAGTACGCTAAACTGAATCATGCAAACCCTGCTGAAAAAGAACATTACTCCGATTTTTATAACTGTAATAATTCTAGTGTCTTATATGCAATGAGAGCATGGCATACAAACACTATGCAAATGTTTATATAGATTGGTGTCTATTAATTGAGTATCATTTAGATAACTGGTCAGTAGTTCAATTTCAACCAAAAAACATATATCAACCAAAATAAGACATTTTTCATGATTTCAAAAAGTGATCATGAAAAATATGTCTTAATCTAGTTGTGATCTGATTATAAGAAGTCCCGACCAGATTTCTACCAGTAAAATACGTCTTTATCACGTCTTATGCACACTGGGTTACTAGGAGCATTGAGATCTGTGGGATCCCACTGGCACTCAAGGACAGCTGCTTTACGGCAGGCATTGTCATGATTACAGTAAAAAGAAAGCAACAGGTAGGCCTATCTGCCTTAAAAGTGGCTCCGAAAACGTATCTGGGCGCCATGTCTTGACCTGCGGTTTAAGGACACGGCGCTTTCACAACCCCTCTCCCTCTCTACCCCAGTCACACTGAGTGCGCGCAACCGGACACAATTCGGTCTGGCTCAGTAATTTTGATGTGTTATAAACTAGAAACACCCAAGGTGCATTGAGGTTATCACCAATCATGTTATCACATATTAATCTTGCGCGCCGTCCCTGGGTTCCATTCGTCGAATATTGAAAATGAGAAATCCTGGTATTTTGGCAGCGCTCCACCAACCTGTCTGCGCGTGACGTAGGGAGGGGACTACTTAAAGGCGGATTAATGCTGGCAAGACATTAAATCCAACCTCCCTCCATCCAGACACAGCGCGCGACCCATCAACCTGATCTGAAGATCGAAAATAGGAGGGCTTATAGTAAGCAGCCCTTCAGCTCCACAAGACAACGAGAAAGTGTGGCAGCGTCGTGCGAGCGCTTGGGCAGAAGCACAGAACAATATTGCACGGAGCTGGCGAGAGGAGGGCGGGACAGCTGAGGGCTCGTGATCAATGCATTTGCCAGATAACCTCGGAGCCTCTGGAGAGTGACAACGACAAAAAACCCGGGGAAATATTTTCCACATATTCGGCAGGAGTTCGTACAGAGTGCCGTGGGCTCTCGCCTCCTCCGGATGAACAATAATGGGGGAATGGACCATACTAGAGAGGCTCCTGGAGGCTGCTGTCCAGCAGCACTCTACTATGATAGGAAGGTAAGAGCAAAATGTCAACTGGATTTCCAATAACTACAGATATGCATGTTTTAATGGCTGTTGTTGGGGCTAGATAGGTGGGAAGCAGAGACCGGGCGCTATTGCCTGTTATGCTTACTTTACCAAACAAACGCTTGTAAAACATTTCAAAACACAAATACAGATGAATGTCAATGAGTAAATACTTCAGAGTACACAGAAATATATAACAATGGCGCACTGACACACATGATAAAGGCATAATACACATAGCATCCGAACCAACCCCGGTGCTGAGAGCTAGCAGAACGTGATCCCAGCAAAGAGCGTTCGTTTCAGCACTGGACAGCTCCTAAACACGCGCCTGCTTAGAGACACTGTACTGAATCTCCAGCCATTTGCACTAAGTTAACATAATTTACTGACTCTATACTCATACATTGTTTGTTTGTTTGTTTGTTTTTAGAATCCTACTAACTGTGGTGGTGATCTTCCGGATTCTAATCGTAGCAATAGTTGGAGAGACAGTCTATGATGACGAGCAAACCATGTTTGTTTGTAATACCTTACAACCGGGCTGCAACCAGGCTTGCTACGACAAGGCATTCCCAATTTCACACATTCGATTTTGGGTTTTCCAGATCATAATGGTTTGCACCCCGAGTCTTTGTTTTATCACATACTCGGTGCATCAGTCGGCGAAACAGAAGGAGCGACGGTACTCCACGGTCTTTCTGTCCCTGGATAAGGATCAAGATTCAATGAAACGAGACGACAGCAAAAAGATTAAAAACACCATTGTGAATGGAGTACTTCAGAACACAGAGAACTCCACCAAAGAAGCCGAGCCCGACTGTTTGGAAGGTCAAAGATATCCCCAATTCAGCCATGAGAACTACTGGAAAGTCTAAAAAGAGTCGGCAAGAGGGTATCTCGAGATTTTACATAATTCAAGTGGTTTTCAGAAACGCGCTGGAAATAGGGTTTTTAGTGGGTCAATATTTCTTGTACGGATTCAATGTCCCATCGGTGTACGAGTGTGATCGATACCCCTGCATAAAAGATGTAGAGTGCTATGTTTCCAGACCAACAGAGAAGACCGTGTTTCTAGTCTTCATGTTCGCGGTCAGTGGCTTTTGTGTATTGCTGAATCTGGCAGAACTCAATCATTTGGGGTGGAAGAAAATCAAAACGGCCGTGCGAGGAGTGCAGGCGAGGCGGAAGTCCATTTATGAAATCAGAAATAAGGACTTGCCTAGAATGAGTGTGCCTAATTTCGGTCGCACTCAATCCAGTGACTCTGCTTATGTGTAGCACATGGAGAGAGTTCCCGATGGGACAATGTGCGATGTGTAAAGATTGAACCAAGATGAACACTGGATGATGACAACTCCCCACGCCACATCCGTTTCATGACTTAAAAGAGTGGGCCGATTTTTTATTTGTTTATCTTTTAAGGACTCCAATGGCAAGCGTGGATTACACGTTTGTTAATTTATTTATTACATTGCACTGATGCAACTTTTTAGTAACGTTTATACTATGTAAAGCGCTAAATAGAGATCATGTCGACGTGTTCACGCATTTACTCTTTGTGGGTTGATCTACTGTACTTGAAGAGAGTAGGCTAAATGAAAATTGCACTAAGAGGTGAACACCCGAGAGCCAAACCTAACCCGTTGCGTGCTACTGACAGTGTTTTAAAAACATTTTTTCAACCGATTGTTGACACCAATCTATTTAAGCGACACAATACACCGGTTGACTATATGTTCGAGGGGAAATATTCTCCAGATTCATATAGGCATATGCTTAAATATATAAATCAATTTTGACTACGGATCGACCTAGTTGAAATACATTAGCATCATTCATGTTTTTTGTTGCCTGTGTTCGCACCACTGACCTTAACGTATGTAATCATTCCATTGCTATATAGCTGACTTGCAAAACAGTATCTGGTGGATTTGCTGCAAACGCTAACGTCTGTGACATCCTTAATTTATAATACACCAAAGCGCCCACTGCTTTCATTTGTGAAAAGTGTTGTCTTGCTTTCGTGTAATTAAGTGCCATACTTGTACATAGACATATATATGTATACATAGAAATATATAAATATATAATATTATTCATCATGAAAGCTAATTCCCTGCTTGAATTATGTTAAATGCCGCCTAATTTCTTTGCTTTGACTTGTTGTGATTTAAATGGATATATGACATTTTCTCTCTCTCTCTCATTCTATTTGGCAAATGACTGGAAAATAAATAAAGTGCTAGTCTTTTTTATATACTGGAAGAAAATGTTTCTCCACAATCATAATTGATCTCAACTCAAAATAGCACAAATTGACCTTTTTAACAAACTAAGAATGGGCAATAAGTATCTGCTCTGGTGCTACGGTTTTTCACAGAATGGTTTTCAATGTAATCAAAATAAACCAGAAAAAGAAACACCCTTTTCTGTCGAAAAATAAAAGTGGGATTCATGTACACCAGAAATGTGTGAGGTGCAATACTTTTCTGTCTGAAAACTGAACTGGAATGTTAGAATTATCCTATAGCTGCCCTGTCTAGAGCATGGCTTGGTTCAGTGAAAATGGCAATGCTTGCCACACCCACAAGCCTATGTCCATCCATCCAATGAGAAAACCCCTATGAGCTCTTCCTTTGATGTTATCAGTGTCTGTTAACATGTGGGTGTGCTGTAATGCATTTCAATGGGGATGATGCTTCCACGACAAACATCAATACTGCATGTCCCATAACAGTGACCAGATGCAGCCCTAATGTGAAATGCATTCTAACATCCATATACTGTCCCTTCCCAGCCATAGCTGACCTGACCATGACTGTTCACATGGCTGCTATACTGTTACTGACTTTGTGACCTTGACCAGGAAGCAATTGGACAGACACACTGTACAGAACAGGAATGATTAAGACCTGATCTTTATTGATAGAGGACTTGGCTTGTTTTGTCCTCTGCTCATCCCTTCTTCCCTCATTTCAAGGAAGTGAGCAAAGGAGCGGCTCTGGCTGAAGGGAAGGTCGTGTGAGCCTCATGAAGGTCACTAAGAAAAAGGGAAAGAGAAAAATGAGACAGTGCTGAACTGTACGCCCACACTCCAGAGAGAGAGAGAGAGAGAGGGGGGGATTCCAGGATGATCCGAGGGAGGATGGGATGCTAGACTCTGCCTTTGCCAGGATGACTCGGCAAAACACAGAGAAATCGAAGAGTAGCGCACACTGACACATCCATCTCAAACTCAGCAGGGACGTGAAAATTCTCTGTAACTCGAGAACTCTGGGAAAAAACTGAGGAGAAGTGCAGTTTGACTACTTGGCCTCTCTCCATCTCTCTCTCTCTATTTGTCTCTCTTTTCCCTATCTCTGAAAATGTTTACTGACCAAATTACTGTACAGGCCATCCTGTTCTATAAGATTGAAGTGTCCACTTCCACTCAGTTGTTTTCAATGCTTGTAAATGACTTGGGTGTTCTTTCACTGAGAATTCCCAGTTATACAAGGGATCATACAAACAAAGACTATATTTTCACTGTACATTACTGTATATTTACTGTACATTTACTTAAGGGACACTTGCTCTGATGCTCGACTAGTGGTTTCCCTGCAATATTCATCCTGGTAATTTCACGGCTACTTCTAAATGCCAAAATTATTGTGTTATGTGTGAATGCAATTATGCATGCTGTGTTGCATTTTCCATCATGTGAGCGTTGGGAGGCTTGGTTTAATATTACATGGTACCTGTGCAGCTCTTCATTTCCTTTGTGCTCAGCTCACGAGAGGCGGGCTAAAAAGGAAGAGGGCTTTTGACCAGAGAGATAGCTGGAGATAGCGACAGTTGGAAGCGACTCTCCCAGTTCTATGGCATTTATCTTGCGCTCGCTTCGGCCCCCACTCTTGACAACTGTAGATACATCTGAGCAAGGACTGCAGCTATTTCAAGGATCCAAGACAAATGCTCAGGAAAACCACAGATTTCAGCTGATTGCAGGTGCTTAAATAAACAGGGAGGGAATTTTACAGGATAATTTTAGCCCTTAATCTCTCAGTCTCTGTCTAGAGAAACACCCCTGGATTAGAGAGAATCATCTCCCTGGGACCGTTATGGTCTGGGAGAGATGAGAGGTGGTCAGTGTCCTGTCCTCATAAAATAAAAGCTCATTTTATTACCATCCACTACTGCGTCAGTGTAATTTCATCCTTCCTGTTCAACACTTCCTGTTCACTATACCCTGATGAAGACAGCGTGTCTGTCAAAACGTTGGTTATTCGTTTATTAAATGATTGCATCTGAGCTCCTAGAATGTGCGGCTCTCCTTTTCTTTTTCAACACTTTAATAAGGCCTTACTGATTAAAAAAATGCACTGGTTACCATAAAAAAAATCAATAATGTTTTTCTCAACAACAAACCAAACCAAGCCTCCAACCCATGACGTTTTTTATTTAATGCACTGGTTCCGTATATATGCACTGTAAGCGGAATGACTTTGAAAGACATACTGTGAATTAAATCAATTTTCTCACGAAGACGAGAATACATTTGTTAAGGGTGTGCTGTCATTTTTTTCTCTTGTGTTCTGACTCTCCTTGCTGTCCTTCTTTTCTCTACAGGAGGAGTTCATCTTTAAGACAGCCATGCAAAAAAAACTCAGAGCTGGTTATTTTTCAAACACTCAAACACACAGTCTTTATCTTCTCTACTTGCTGTCTAGAAATATGAAGTCAAGTGCTACATCCAAAGAGGATTTTATGTGGAAGAAGATCCAAACAACCTCAACAGTGTATGACACTGGCTCACGACTGATATTCTACAAAATCACTCTTACACCTTATCATCAGCACAGCTCTAAATTCTTCTATACACTATAAAAGTGGGAAAGCCAAATAAATACTACACAGTTTCTTACTATGAATATTGTGTGTGCATATGTCCTACACATTTGAAAGGATGAGAGGGTCACCTGGGGAGATGGTCCAAAACCATCACATATAATTATAATGAATTATATTTTAATCAATTCATTAATTATTGCTGCTTATAAATGACTTATTCATGCATTATGCATTAAAAGCCTAATACTAAATAAATAATTCCTCCTTCACCCTGGTTTAATCCAATGACAGTTTAATTCCAGGTCATAGACCATTGGCAAGACCACTGGGAGACAGACGGTGGGTTACAGAGTGGGATACCAGCAGTGTATTATTTCTGGTTGGTGAGCGAGGCCCATGAGAGAAAACTATCTGTCAGATATTGGATGCACTGTGCAACCATAGTGAGGGACGTTACATCAAGTGCCTTGTTAACATACAGTACATCAATACAGATACACTATACTGTAATCATTGGTCTGGGCTTTGATAAGAATAAATGAAATCAAATTAAATTACATTTGTCACATGCACCGAATACAACTGGTGTAGACTTTACTGTGAAATGCTTGCTTTCAAGCCCTTCCAAATGATGCAGAGTTTAAAATAATAAAATAGTAACACAAGAGGAATAAAATAAAATACACAAGAATGGAGCTATATACAGGGAGTACCAGTACCAGATCAATGTGGAGAGGTACGAGGTATTTGAGGTAGATATGTACATGAATGCAGCGTAAAGTGACTAGGCATCAGGATAGATAATAATACGAGTAATATAAAGAACAGAGTAGCATAAGCAAATTATGAGTGTAAAAGTGTGTGTGGTGAGTGTGCGTGTGTGTGTTTGTGTTGTGTCAGTATGCGTGTGTGTGTTGTGTGTGTGTTGTGTGTGTGTTGTGTGTGTGTTGTGTGTGTGCTATGTGTGTGTTATGTGTGTGTGTGTGTGTGTATGTAGTGCATGTGAATGTATGTGGGTTTTGTGTGGGAGTGTCAATGTAGTGTGTATATGGTGTGTATATGAGGTCTAGTGAGTGTGTGTGGGGTCAGTGCAAGATAGAGTCAGTGCAGATAGTTTGGGTACCATTAATTTACTATTTAGAAATCTGGCTATTTAGCAGTCTTATGGCTTGAGGGAAGAAGCTGTTTCGGAGCCTGTTGGTCCGAGAGCCGATGGTCCGGTATTGTTTGCCGGACGGTAGTAGAGTGAATAGTCCATGGCAATTTTTCGGGCCTTCCTCTGACACCACCTGATATAGAGGTCCTGGATGGCAGAGAGCTCGGCCCCAGTGATGTACTGGGCTGTTCGCATCACCCTCTGTAGAGCTTTGTGATCAAGGGCGCATGCTTTGAGAACGTGCCCCGGTATTCTGTCAGATTGTTAACCTGTTTAAACGATTGTTAACCTG